TGGAATCTGAATTTATTGCATTAGCAGCTGCTGAAAAAGAGGCAGAATGGCTGATGAATATGCTGCTTGATATAAAGTTGTGGCCACAACCTATGCCAACCATTTCCATATTCTGTGATAGTGAGACTACAATGTGTGTTGCTTACAATAAAATATATAATGGGAAATCGAAACATATAAGCGATGTAGTACAACAAACTTGTGGAGGGATGGGGCTGAGACCCTTAAATTAAATACAAGGAATAGGAACCCCACTTTGAGTTAGTATACACTCTAACAATATAAGTTCAATGGGTAATAACAAGTTACTTGTATTGTTTAAGCACTGATCTCCTCTTTAGGAGCCCTAATTCTATTGTACTACTTACTGTTATGTGAGGAGTTAAGGAGTTGTTAAATGCTTGTTATAACAAGGGCATAAAGACAAACTCCAAAATGCATACTGTTACATGAAGAGGTTGATTAATCTTAATGGAATTATTAATGTCTGGAGTAACAGGGACATAGTAACTAATTCCACCTATATGAATATTGAAGTGGTGCCGCTTCTAGCAAGATTTAAAGGGTTGATCTTGTAAATATTCATGAATTCAGGATGAGCACATGGCCGTAAACGTGCTAAAGCGAATACTGGATTTTCTAAGCTACTAGATAACGCTGTGTGTGTGGTATTTTCGGTTTTGGCACAAGGATTTGTGATTCAAATCTTAAGATACCATTAACTTCGTCAAAACTTTAATATACTTACACTAAAGAAAAGTTCAAATCTGTAAAAGATACTTTCAATTATTCACAAGTGTTATGAAGTGAAATACAAACCAGTGGGGGATTATAAGATAGTTTATTATTGGCAAGTTGGAAGTGGGATTCTTCCCACAACGAAAGAAAGAAGTTCCATGCCTGTCATGTGAAACAACCCCGGGACCGACCTTACTCGTACCGTGTCTGTTAGCCTCGGAACTGATCATTATGAAATAGCACATAACAGGCACGAGATTGACTCAATAGGCACGAGACTGACTCAACAGGCACGAGATTGACTCAATAGGCACGAGATCCTAGAGTTAATTATTTTTAACAGAAAAATCAAATTTATTTGAATTTTAAATTCAAAATTCGAATAAATCGTCGTGTCTGTTTGTGAAACAAGACATCTTTTCTGAAAGGGTCTGTTGGTTGCCTATAAATACACAAGAATTCCAACGAAGTGGATATAGAAAATCACAAGTGTTATTGTAGGCTTTGTTGTATCCTGAAGAGAATCGTTTTGTATTTTCCCTAAATTAGTATACAGGCGATAACTCTTTAAGGACAGTCGATTTTCACGTCTCAAAGCCAATTTTGTTTATTATTTTCTAACATATACTTCCTCCGTTCAGTTTTACTTAGCAGGTATACTAAAATAAATTTTATTTTTACTTGTTACTTTACTCATATCAAGAGAAGATAGATTTTTTTCCTGATATATCTATAGTATTTATTACTCATTTCAAATTATTTTCTCAAATTCAATAAAATATGTATCAATTAATATGAGTGTTATGGTAAATTATAAACTTATTTATTATTTTTTAAAGGGCATAGAAAGTTAAACGTGTCCAGTAAAAGTGAATAGAGGAATGTATCATATATAGAAGTTGTCCTTAATTTCCCAAACAAAAGAAAAGAGCTGTAAGAAACAACAAAAAGCCTCATGCACAATAACCGAAATTGACAACTTCTCATAGTGTCGAAAAGACAGAGCAAAAATGACGTTAATTTTTACTAATATAATATAATCCCAAGTAATTGAAGATGCTTTCCTAAGTAAAATTGGGTGGAACACAAGAAAAAGAATATGGGTTGTATTGTTTATATTACAAATAAATCATAATTTAATCTATCACTTAATTGGGTTTTGAGCTTTTCACATTATACTTTCTTTTCTTCTTTTTGCCTGGAATCTATTTAACAAAAAAATCCTCTGGCAATTGGATGCTATAGTCGCCACACACTTTGAAATGAGAGTTTCAATTCTTGAAGTTTTAATTATTGGATTAAAATAGTTATTAAATTAATGAGAATATTGGAGATTTCACGTGTGAGGAGTTTGACTATTATTTTGATGGCAAGTAGCGTAAAATTCTAGCAACAACAAAAAGCCAGAGAGAAATATCTACTCTAAGAAAATGTGTAAATTGAGCACTCCCAATGTATGATTCGTTATGAAAATTCTCATGCACAGCTCCCATCAATATTTTCCAACTTTTTTAATCTTTTATATAGTGTTCAGTATTTGTTTTAGCGCCTTAATTAGTTTAAATTTTTACATCGCGTAAGATCAATTAAAGGAAAAAAGCGTTTCATACCATGACTTTTATTTATTTATTTCGAGGGTTCAAATCTGAAAATCTTATTAGGATGGATCCAACGTCAAAATCTTATTTCAATTCTCATTTTCTTTTAATAATGCTATTTCCTGGTACTATAGGGAAAAACCTTGACAAATATTAGAAATTAACGTAATCAATGTGCGCCCCAGGTATAAGGTATAAACTTCTACGCAATTAACTCCTTAAAAGCTCTCTTTATCGATCTCGAATTGAAAACCTCAACAAATTCAGGAAATCCTCCCCAAAAAACTTATAATCTCTCCAAATTCATGCAAAACATAATTTGTTACTACTATTTAATAGAACACAATAAAAATAATGAATTTATATAAGTGATACCAATTATTTGAAATTAAAATTAATGAATTGTTGTCGTATTTTCTTATCTTATTTATTCTGATTAAGCATTTCTTGAGCCGAGGGTCTATCGGTAATAGCCTCTCTATCTTTCAAGGTAGGGGTAAAGTCTGAGTACACACTATTCTCCCCATATCCTGCTTGTGAGACTATATTGAGTATGTTGTTGTTTTGCAGTTGTTGTTACACCGATATTAATTTTTGCTAGTTTTTTTTTTCCTTAGATTGGTTAGAGAGTTGGATTTAGTATAGAGATTAGAAAATAAAGGATTCATACTAAAGTATCTAACTAATTTGAAATTGGGGCAAAAACCGATAATAGTATTTTGAGAGTGATTATATAGAAATGAATTTATCTCTTAGTTAGTCTAATACTTTATTCCACGTCCAATATTATTAATAAAGCTAAAGTGCGTTTAGACTAATTTTCCATGCAAAAGAGAGATAACATCATAAAATTGACCTTCCTAAAAAAGTTATTGTTATGACTAGAGACTACCTCAGCATCTTAGCCAATTTTCTTTTAGCTGAATAATTCCACGAATAAGCTGCTCAAATTTTTTATTCATATGTTCGGTGGATATGCTTTTTACAACATTATATCTAGTCTCATTTTTAATAGAATTCTACACATGATAAAAAGAATATCTTTTTTCTTCTTTTCTATTCTCAATTGAACTTCTCATTTTACTATGATCAACTTAATTATTACATCACAAAAGGGGAAGGGGGAGGAAAATGATCAACTTAGCACCATCGGATCATATTTTCAGAGGCGGATCCAGAATTTAAATTTGATGGACTTTTAAGATTTTTAGTTTTAAATTCATTGTACTTTTAAAATTATAAGTTCAAATCTAATACTTATTGATATTTTAGCAGATTTTGACATATAAATTCATACTCCATATCATAAGTTATGGCTTCAGTTGAATCCGTAGCGAAAAGGCTACATTTGCCCTACATATTCTTCCATCAGTGCTTTAATTCTTTAATGATAATACACATCATCATGCAAATAAAGTACGTGTCAGTATTTATATTAGTCAAAAATAGGATAAGATAATATGATTAGAAGGCATTAAACGTTAAGAAGGTGGTTAATATGTGCCTTTTTTAGTAGGATTCAACTGAATTATATCATCCCCTCTTACCTATTTAGTTTGTACCTTAGGTGGAACCAACTAAAATTATTTCTTCCTTTTTTTTTAAATAATTCTTGGACACAAATATTTATTACACATAGGCAAGAAACGACCTTATGATAAAAAAATTAATTATCATCTCATCATCAATCAACCAACACAAATACATGTTGTAGGGTAGCTCGTAAACTAAGGACCTGTGCTACCTTATTCATGTAATGGTCGACCCATTATGTTGGTAGGTTTTGCCTACACTATTTGTTTATAGACTGTGACATTTGCTATAGCAATTACAACCAAAGTTTTGACTTAAATAGTAAAATATGGATGAATTCACATTATGTCGTGGCTTTAAAACAAAATTTTAATAAACCCCCCCCTCGTTGGATTTTATTACGTCTGACAAATAAATTGAAAAAAATGAAATTTTATATAGTATAGCATCTTCCTATAAAGAATAGTCAATAATTAAATATATATATATATATATATATATATATACATATACATATACATACCTCTCTATAACAACCTCATTTGTTTCAAAAAATTTTGATTGTTATATCGAAGTGTTGTTATAGAGAAAATATATTATAACATACCATAAAAATTTATTTCATTAAAAACTTGATTTTTATAGTGAATGTTGTTATATAGCGATGTTGTTTAGAGAGATCTGATTGTATATATATTCACAGTCAAACCTCTCTATAGCAGCCTCATTTGTTCCAGATTTTTTTGGTTGTTATAGCGAAGTGCTGTAATAGTAAAAATATATTATGACACAGCACAAAAATTTATTCCATTAAAAATTAATTTTTATAGTGAATGATTGGTATATAAAGATATTGTTATGGAGAGATCTGAATATAACTCCACAAGTGTGATAACATTTTGGAAGGAGGATACATACATTATGGTATATGTAGTTTGTATATGTAATACTACTAGTATAAGTTTTTAATGTTACTTTATTTCACTTGAGGTGGTGTGTGTTGGGGTGGGGTGGGGGTTGTGATGTGGGGTATGGGGTACCAAGTGGAAAGTAGGACCCACAATGGACTGTCTAGTGAGCTATAGGAGAGGCATTGCACATCCTTTGATGCCCACATAGTTGCCTCTTTACTCGACCATTACAAGTTTGGACCACTCTTCAATCTTCCCTATAAGAACTCCTCTTTGCTCTCTTCCTTCTCCCATTCAAACTTCAACACAAAATCTCAAAGCTCTAAACCAAGAAAAGCAAAAGAAAGTCCAAGAATCTCTTGAAAACACTCAAATTTTCATCATTTCTTGATTTTTTTTCCTCATCATAATTGAGTTAAAGATGAAGATGAGTAGCACAAATATGGGAAATTCAAAGAGGAGAATTTCAAGTAGAGGAGTTGGAGGAGTACTTAGAGAACAAAGGGCAAAACTTTACATTATTAGAAGATGTGTGGTTATGCTCCTTTGTTGGCATGATTGAAAGAGCAAAAGAAAAAGAGAAGAAAAAAAAGGGAATTAATTAAGGGGTTTAATTTTCTCTATATTTTTTATATTTTTCTTTTCCCTCTTCTTGGGAGTGTACATATCAATGGAGGATATTAGCTAAAAGGGTTTAACAATTTTGTACTAATTTAGCTTATTAAGGTTTCTTGTATACATATCGGATAGTTTTAATTAAGGAAAATGATTTTGATTATATTGTGTCTAAATTCTCTTTTTTCCACTTTTCTTATATTGTTCTACTATTCCTATGTTAAATTGTGGGATTTAGTGATCTATGATTTTGTTGATTCTTTCTCTTTTGATCACTTTTTTCACTATAAAAAAGAAAAGGTTCAAATCACAATTCATTTGATGATAAGTGTTTGAAATTCAAAAAATTTGCACAATGATATTGATCTTGGGAGTTTTCCCTTTTTTCTCTGTGTGTGTATGTGTTTCTTCAATTAGTTGAAAGGAGGATTATCAAATGTAATTTAAACCCACAATCCAAAGAAACATAGAAGGAAAGGTGTAATTCTTTCCTTGTTTCTGTTTATTTTCTTCCATTCCTTCTCTTCTTTTATCTTTAAATGGTAGCTCGGTACACAAAGTATTCTATATTTGGGCCATCTATATTTATGCATGGCCCGGGAAGGATCGCACGCTAAAAAGGTGTGATGTAAGCAATTTACTATAATGCAAGCATCGCGGCTGATTTTACAACTCAAACTCATGACATATCACTCGGCTAATTTTACAACTCAAACTCATGATAACTTTACCATTTCTCAATTTTTTGCTCTTTATTACTATTACTATTTTGGGATTTGTTGAGGGAGGGAGAGGGGGTTTGATTATGATGCTTGTTGCATCTTTATTACTTTAGTGCTTTTCAAAGATTAAAGTTCACATCACTAACTGTGATTACACAAAAATGCATGATCTAAAGTGACTTTCTTTTTATGATTACAAGGTTGAATTTAGCACCTAAGATTATGAAGTAGGCCCAAAATTAATTAATCATTGATGCAATTGATGGTTAGGATCAAATATAAATAAAAGTTAGTCAAACTAATCCCAAACTTTTTTTTTGGTACTGTTGGAAAGCACGCCTGATTAGTGTTTTTAGCACAAAATTTATGTTTGTATAATCATGACTAAAAATTGTATACATATTAAACCAAGCTGAGAGATTTTACTTTGTGTATATCACATAAATAAGTAGTAACATGCCTATCTTTAGGACCTCATAGTTTTGACTTTTTGGTATTTAATCCAAATGGCGTATTCATAATTAAATTCTTGATCTCATCTTATATGGCTTTTAAATTTTTCTTCTATTCTGATATGAAATTTGCCCAAGGCTACATTTATAGCAATCCATTTCGAGTTCAATCATCAGCGAACCATTAGTATACTCGATTTCGAGTTTAGGTGCCAGCGACCCATGAATATGCAAGTTGAGAGAACACATTGTGGTTGCCATTATTTCTGACCATGGTGAATCATCGGGATCGCATTGCGGTGCTTATAGAGACTGGTTAATGTATTATGACCCATCGCAAGCACAATGCCTGATCTGAGAACCAGCCTAGTGTAAAATTTGGACGACCTGGACCGCATGATGCAGCAGGCCGAAGGTGACATTGCAAACATTAATTGCGACTCTGATGGAGACCGGCAAACGACAGCCACATGGCAGCTGAAATTTTTAGTAAATTTGAGGGGCTCCAACAAGAACGGACCGAGGATTTAGCTCGCAGGGCTCAAGAGACAGACATGGTGACTGCCATGCAACAACTATAGACAAATTTACAGGTCAGCTCAATGTTGTCAACGTTGCGTTACAAGGACTACTCCGAGCAGGCGAAAATCACATCGGGGTGCTGTGAACCTCACCCATGTGCCACAAAAGCTCAAAATCCTTGAACCGAAGCCCTACAGGGGCTCGAAATTCCAAAGAAGTGGAGAACTTCATATTTGAAATCGAACAGTACTTCGATGTCGTTGGGGGTATTGCATCTATTGGTTGGTAAGCTTGCAAAAGCAGGACTGACAGACTTTTAGACTAGCCAGCTTCTGAAGAAGGGTGCACATGTCACCTTAAGTTAATCCCCATCGGAATGAGAGAGGAAAGTGAAGAGTTTTATAAGGCATAACACAAGGTCATATGGTACGCATGCTTTTGGGCTAGATTTGGCATAGCCCTAAAGACAAATCCGTACAAACCTAGGCCCAAAGATAATAAGACCTGTTATGAATTTGGGTCATGACAAAAAGACACTTTTATTTTAAGGGATTTTTTCCTTCCTATACCATATATGAAACTTTATTACCAAATATGTGCATAGTTTCTAATTTACCCGCTTTGTTCACACTTTTTCTACAATTATTATACCATTCATTAAATACTAATTATTAGTAGCTGAATCTTCCTAATTAGGCGCGCTACAAATCAGGAACATAATATTCTAATTGATTTAGCGACCTTCAGATCAAATTTGAAACGGAAATCCTTTATCTTCAATTTAAAATCAAATTACATAGACTCTTTTCTGCAAAAACTCTATTCTTCGATATTTTTGCTTAAACCACAAATCAAAAAAAGGCAAAATCGTCAACAAATTCGAATCAAATTGTAGAAATCAGTTCTGCAAAAGCTTACTTCGTCGACTTTTTTCCTCAATCCACTGATCAAAAAAGCGACAAAATATTCAACAAATTCAAGTCAAATTGTAGAAATCAATTCTGTCGATACTCTGTTTTTCGTCTTTTTTTCTTAATCCAAAAAATAAAAAAAGTGACAAAATATTGAACAATACCTCAGTAACGACAAGCAATCATGTCCAAAATCCCAATCATGCTACAATTAAATGGGAATTGGGATAGCTATGGCAGATTTATAGATTTTCAAGTTGATGGCATTGTGCTCGATGAGGATGCAAGTTACAGTGTGCTGATTTCTACAATTGTAGAGCAATTAATGATTGATACTTAGGAAAAAATTGTAGAAATCAAATACATTGTGAATGAGAATTGTCCTCCAATGGAGATTAGGAACGATATGGGTGTTCATGTGTATATGGAGACAAAAAAGGAGAATAAAAACTTAGGATCGTATCCGTTATTTATAAGTGTACGAGATTTCAATATGGAATTGACTATTACCAATGAGAACACAAGTGCAGGTTTGTTATATTTCAAATTCTATGAAAATCTGATTTTACGGTAATATCTATAAAATTTCTACATTTATCTACAAATAAACTACATATCGATTTTAGGATGTATAAAGCAATATTGTTTTCATGATTATCTACAAAATTACTACATTTATACTATAATTAAACTACAATCTATGTTGAAAAAATGTTGACTGCAAAATTTTTCTCTACATCTACAAATTTTCTACAAAAATACTACAAATCAGTTTAAGTATGTATAAAGCAGTATTATTTGTAAGGGTATCTACATAATTACTACATTTATACTACAATTAAACTACAATCTATGTGAAAAAAATGTTGACTACAAAATTTTCTCTCATCTACAATTTATCTACAAAGATTCTACAAAATTGTAATGACACTATTTATCTTTATATTCATGCAGGTTCGTCTGAGACAATAAAGTTACTTGATATGCCAGCCTCTCCCGTCATAGAGGAATATCAAAGTGAAATAATAACTGAAGGTACACAAAGTGTTATCGAAAAAGGACAAGTGTTTCTAGATTGTAGATAAATTGTAGACAAATTGTGTTAATTTGTAGATTGTAGATAATTTGTAGATAATTTGTAGATATGTTGTAGATAAATTGTAGATAATCTATTTTTATGATTGTAAATATTTCTCTTTCTATTTTGTTATGTAATTGTAGGTGAGTGCTTCAACAGATCATATCCATACTGTGATAAATGGTGTGAAACAGTACATTGTGTGTCTTGAAAGCAAGAAATGTAGTTGTGGCTAGTTCCAACTTGATGAACTTCCATGTGCGCATGCTTTGGCAGCTTTAAGGCACAGGAATGAAACTTATGAAAACTATTGCTCTCCGTATTACACAAAGGAGAGCCTACTGCGTACGTATGAAATACCAGTAAATCCCCTTCCTGATGAAAACAAATGGAATGTGCCACAACATATATTTGATGAAGTAGTAAATCCACCTACGGGAGAAAAAAGGCAGTCAGGAAGACCTCAAAAGGAAAGATACAAAACATATGATGAACTAAAGTCAAAGAAGTACAAGGTGTCATGTGACAACTGTGGAGGTGAAGGGCATAACAAAAAATCTTGCAAGAATGCGCCTAAAAAGAAATAAATATCATGTAGGTAGAATAGTATTTCAAAATAATTGTTAGTGTGTTCAAGTTAACAGAATTTTGGGTGTAATCGTAAGTTATTAAAGATCATAATGTAGTTAATTTCAATTTGTTTCTGTGTTTGTTAACATGTTTTTCTGTAT